GACCACCCATCTCTAAGACATGATCTCTGTACACGGCATCTTAGATAATTAAGAGCCTGAACTCCAGACCAGACAAGTGGGGCTGAATCCCAGCTTTACCAGTATCTAGCTGTGGGAAATTGCCTTCCAGGCCTCTATTTCCTCATTTGAAAAACAGGGATAGAACTGTTAGGCTGGTGCTGTTAAAAAAGTAAATGAATGAATATATGTAAACCTCTTAGAATGAAACCTGGTGCCTGGTACACAGCAAGTGCTAAATCAGTGCTTACTTTTATCCTTTCTACTAGGATCTGGAGAAGGCGAGTAGATACGTGTCCCAAACATCAGTCCTCAAGTCCTTGGAATTTTCCTTGAAACAGATCTTTAAGAAAAAAAATCACAGGTTTTAAGCCAAAACTATTTTCCCAAACTTATGTCACAGCAGCACAGATTCGTAGGGCTGGCAGAGCCCTGCTGAGTGGAGAGAAAAAGGCATGTGGAGCCGGATGACTGACACTAGAATTCAGGCTCTGCCCTTCGTGGAAGTATGGCCCTGGCACATTCTTCAACCTTCCTAGAGCCCCAGTTCTAGGTAGACGATGAAGTGAGGACAGAGAGTCAGCAGCTCCCACCCCCAGGCCAGTCCTGCCACTAACTTGATTGGGTTCCTGCTCTGGGTCTCAGCTTCCTTACTCATAAATGGAGGGTCTTGCTCCACATGGTTTTAACAACATAGACTCAGAGTTATGACCCCCACCCAAGGCACCCCTGACTCAGAGTGCCCCTCAGGACTGTGGGTGGCAGCACCAGATGCTCATAGCAAGAAGAAGGCAGGAGAGAGACTCCTAGCAATCCTAGAAAGTGGGAGTTAGGAGAGATCTTAGAAAGTTACATAGTACGCTGTCCACTTTACAGATGAGAAAACTGAGGCCCCAGTGCAGGGGAAGTGCCCTGTCCAATGTCAGAGCTGGAACCAGAACCCACATGAACTGTCTTGTAGGCCCAGTGCCCTTGACATGGCGGCCACCATCAGCTCAGGAGTGGGAAGCCTGACACCCCTCCTCCAGGCTTCAGGGAGCGAATCTTCCCAAGTGGAATGGATCGAGAGAGACATGTGTCCTATTAATTGCGATAATGGTGATGATGATAGCTATAATTTAATGAGTGCTGTGTGCCAGGCATTGTTCTAAGTGCTTTATTTCCATTTACTCCTATGAGGTGAGAACCATTCTCATCTCTCTTTTACAATGTAAGAGCAAGGTGAGGCAGAGAGACGCTAAGTAACTTGCCCAAGGTTTCCCAGCTGGTAAGTGTGAAAACTGGGTCTTGAGCCGGACAGAATTCTAGAGCCTGTTCCTCAACTATTTGTCTGTGCTACTATACTAACTCCTTGGAGTGTATTTTTGCTATATTTCTGGTCCATGGAAGTCCAGGGGAGGGAATGGTGCTGGATTCAATTCTGTTTAACTGCATGTGTATTTTTGTTGGTATCTATATGATTAGCTGGATAGCCAAAAGGAGTGGCTGCTTCCAAATTAAATGTATCAGCATAAAACAAATTTCAGACCTGGCCTGTCACATATTACAGATATGTGCATGTGCACATACACACGTACATGTATACACTACAACAATACACACATACACAGAAAAAGGCCAAGAGCATGGCCAAGCAGAAAAATGCACTGAATTCAGAGAACCAGAGCACCTAGCTCAAGTCCTAGCCCCATGGCTCTCCAGCTGAGGGAGCTTGGTGGTTTGATTTGCCTGCTCTGTGAGGGATGGGTCTCTGTCTACACCATTTACCCCTGAATTTCTGGTTCTCACTCAGCAAATGAATGGTTCATTTCCTTACATCTGCTTTCTAGCTGTGTGACCATGGGCAAATCACTCAACCTCTCTGTTCCTCAGTTTCTGCCATCAAAATAAGTATCACAATTATACCCACTCATAAGGCTATTGCAAGGATTAAATGAACTGATATACGTAAAGGAATTAGAGGGTGGCATAGAGCAAATATATACAGATGTTTAGCATGATGGTGGTGATAATGGTGACAATATTATTACCCCTTTTTATTTGTAAAATGGGCCAATAATAACATTTACCTCTTAGGGTTATCCTGAGGAACAAATAAGATAATAGCGCAGAGGAAGGGCTCATCCATCAACCCATGTCATGGGTCAGGGACAGGAGAAGGAAAGGTGTATAGGGTACTGGGACACCCTGTCGCTCAATGCAGGGGGAAGAAGAGGGCAGCAGGTAGATTCTAGCCTGGAGTCTGGCTCGGCAGCAGACAGGACATTGCATCCCTTTGTGCCAGATTATCTCCACGGCTTCTTGCCCCAATGCTGCCACTTTGCACGTGTGACCCAAACTGTCTCTTTAATTCTCAAATGGAGGAGGAGAAGCCGCAAACAGGTTTACGATATTCACGGTTTGCTATGTCTGTGTTACATCCTGTGTGCATGTAAACAACATCTTGTGGCATTGTCTGATAAATTAAACATCTCTCCTTTCCAGGCTTGAGAGGAGTGTCAGGTCCCCAAAAAGGGGCATGGGTGACTCACTGCCTCAGCTGCCAAAGAGCTTTGTGTGGAGCTCCTAGAGAAAAATGCCCTGGAAGGGACGGGGCATGGAAGGAGTGAGGCTCCAGCTTGGGGTTTGTTTACTGGGAGAAGAGGATAGGATTTGCCCAAAGCTGGCTGCTGAGATGAGGCTGGGGAGTTGTTACCCAGGGAATCAGCATGAACTCTGCAGCCCCAGGTGCTGGGCAATCAGTCACTCCCTACCCCCTCCAAGATGCCTTTGTCCCCAAGTGCAAGCGCCTCTACCCCAGACCACTACCGAATCATCTGTCAAAAGAGCCTGGCTTATCAACCCAGCTCTGCCATCCACCAGCTGTGGAAGACACCGAACCTCTCTGAGGTTTGTTTTTTGCATTGGGCCATAGACAACAGAGATAGTCTTGCTGAAGGCAGGCAGTGGAATCAACACTGTCCCCTGAGATCCCCATCAGCTCTAAGAGCCACGAGCCTCTTCCCAGCCAGCCTTCTGGGAGATCCTCTGACTCAGGGAATGAGCCAAAACGAGGACATGAAAACAAAGCGCAACACCTTTGATGAGAAAGCCCGCCACCGGGGTAACAGCGTTTCCGCCCCACTGATAGAGTCACCTGAAGAGCCTTTTATAAAGTTCCCAAAATACTGATGTCACTGGGTCCCATTCTCTGAATTTCTGATGTAATTGATCTGCTGGAAGCCCAGGCTTTGGAATTTTGTAAAAGCTTTCCATAAATCTAATATGCAGCCAGGGATGAGAGCCACTGACCTAGATAATCCATTCCTCATAATCAAGAGTTGGAGGTGCTTTTAATTAATGAAAAACATGGGAAGAGATTCTAGGAAACCAGACATGTAGGCCTCTGGCAGTCAGACTTGAGATGTCCTCAGGGTCCAGCCCAGGCAGGACAGGCTGCTTCTGTCTGCACTTCCTCATGCAGGGTTGGGGGCTGGGTGGAATATGTCCATCAGCCAAACAATGACTCCTGAGGCCTGGACTGGGGACGAGGGAGAGCAGGCAAGAGAAGAGATGGATTCTGTCTGGAAGAGTAAAGGAGTGCTTCTGGAGGGTGGAGACTAAGGCTTTGAAGGATGTATACAAGTTCACCACACGGAAAATGCAGGAGGCAGCGAGATTCCCAAGCAGGGAATAGGGAACAGCAAGTATTTCAGTACATCTGGCCAATGGGCTGTCCCTGTTAACTCAGCACCCACTGGGTTCCCTGTGCACCCAGCTCTGCTGGTATGGGGTGGGAAGTGGTGCCCACAGGAGAGCATGAGCTCTGTCCTCAGACTTACAAGGCTGGGAGACACAAGGTTCAAAGGGAATTTCAAAATAGTTCCATAGAGGGCATTCCTAGTGAGGGCTCCCAGTAGACCTGTGTTATCATGGAAGGCTGCTTGGAGGAGGTAAGTCTGGAGAAATGTACAGGCAGACAGGAGGCAGCTGACCTGTCAGGGGATTGCAGTAAATTTGGGGAGGGAAAAGACCTGCATATTTGATGATATAGCCCCTGACATGGACTGGGGTATGGGCAGGGCTGGAAGGCCCCATGTGAGTGACATACAGGGAGGCAGTCTGAGCAGAGTGAAACCACTTTTTCAAAAAAGCAGCTACGAGGAGACCTTGGTCTTAGCTTGTAGGGAAGAGATCTGGCCCCATGCTCAGCTCAGACTTACTTCCCCATTGCCTATACTTCCCATCAAATATTCCGACTGAAACAATAAGGATCTCTGTTGCCAGTGCTGATGAAGCCCACCTATGCTCACTCCTCACCCCGAGACCCCCCAACAGCCCCCCAGGCCTGAGGCCCCACCAGCCTGAGCACACCCTCAGCTTCAGGCAGGAGCCGGCCCTGGCCAGGGCCCAGCCCATTCTGTCTGTGGCACAGACGGGATCCCCAATCCGTCCTCTCCACCATCCCTGCAGGACCCCACTGGCTCACATCCTGGCCTCTACTCCCTGCATGTGGTCAGCCTAGCTGCCACCCCGAAAAGAACAGCCACAGCAATCGGCCCTGCCATGCTGCGGTCTGTCCAACAGGTCTCAGCACTGGTGCGAGTCCCCAGGTCAGCTCAGCCTGGGTGTTGGCTTCCCACACACTCTGGGGGCCACACCGACCTCTGGTGGCTCCTCCATGGGCTGGGGACATTTGGCTGTTCACTCCCAAAGCTCTGGCCTCCAGCAGCCACGAGAGGGAAGTCAGCTGGGGCTGTCATCCCTGCCCGCCGTCAGCCTCAGGGAGGTTGTACTGCAACACTCGTCTTCTGTGAAGACCCAGGGAGCCCAGGGGTGCCAGCATCACCCTCTCTTTAAGAAGAAGCAGCCGGGCCCAAAAGAGTGTGTAGTGGGTTGAACAGTGGGTTGAATATCAAAAGATAAGTCTACCCGGAGCCTCAGAATGTGATCTTACTTGGAATAAAGATCTTGAGATGAAATCATCCTATGTTTTATTTAAGGTGAGCCCTAACCCCAAGATGGGTGTCCTCATAAGAGTCAGAAAAGGAGACGACGGTGCAGAGAGGCCCAGAGAAGACAGCCACGTGAAGACGGAGGCAGAAATTGGAGGGACGCAGCCACAGGCTACGGGATGGGACACCAAGGATTGTGAGGAGCCTCCAGAAGCCAGAAGAGGAGTGAAAGGATTCCTCCCTGAGGCCTTCAGAGGGAGCATGGCCCCGCCAGCACCTTGATTTCAGACCTCTGTGCCTGAAGGCCTGCAGACTGTGGAGGATAAATGTCTGTTGTAAGCCACCCAGTTTGTGGCAGTTGGTTACAGCAGTCACGGAAACTAATACAGTAGGATCATGACTTGCCTGAAAGCACTCGGCTCTCCCTTTTCCAGTGTGATAGTTTCTCTCACTACACCTATTCCACCCTATTGACCTGCCTGAAGACCCCATGTGTAAACTACCAACAACGGTAAGACCATCTTGCATTTATTGAGTGCCTGCTGTGTGCCAAGGACTGGGTGTTTGCATCCCAGCGAGCATGGAGGGCGTGTGTGGGAGACAGTGTGTGATGGTGATCGAGGTCACGGGGATCCAGGTGGCCGCTTTCTAGTTCTGTATCCCTGGGCAGGTGATGCAACCACTTGGTGCCTCAGTTTCCTCATCAGGAAAAAGGGAGTGATAATAGTAATGCCCACCATCTGGGCTGTTGTGAGAATTAAATGAATTAGCATATATGACGCCCTTGGAACCAGGCCTGGTACTCTACTGATGTTGGCCATTATCATTTCCCCATGGCTCAGGTGAGGAAATGGGGACAGACGTGGGATATGTCATTTTCCCAACACAGCTAGCAGGTGGCTGGACTGGAGTTTAAACCCAGGTTTTTCTGACGTTGAAGCAGAAATGTTTGCCAGTCTGAGACACATTGCCTCCTTTTCAGGAGCTTCCTGAAGACTTGACATTCAAGCAGAGAGGAGGCACGGTGTTACCTGAGATGCGTAACAGGTCGTCTTACCAAGGGGTGGCGGCTCAGGGCTGCTTGTCAGTTTTTAACCATTACTTCTGCCCACAACCTGCAGAGAGCAGAGTCCTGGAGCTGGGCTGGACCCAGGAGGCCACCTTTCTTAAGGAGAAAGAAGGTAGAGGAAGAAATGCAGAGACATAGAACTGGGAAATGAGACGTGAGCTGGCCCTGGAAGGTGGGAGAAGGAACTGGCCTCAGAGGGCAGGCATGGGCCAGGCAAGTGTGTGTGTCCTCTGATGACACAGGGAGGACCCCTATCCCAGGATGTCACCTGAGAAACCTGTTTCTGTTTCTGGAATAGCCTGAGAAACAGTTACTTAAGTAACTGCTGGGGACACAGCCCAGAGTGAGTGAAGCGGGTGAGCACCAGAGTGGGAAGAGACAAGAGAGTCTCGCCAAGGAGAATCACAGTCATTGAAAGTTGAGAGCTCATGAAAATGAGGTTTAGGGATTGACATGGTTCCTGCCTATCAGCCTGCCAAGGTACCTGAAGGTCGGGGTAGCAGCCCCAGGAAGGAGAGAGGCGAGGGGAAAAAAGGATACCCTTGCATCCAGTGATGCTCAGAGCCGTGTCACATCTAGGGCTTCCCACCGGATCTCCTGCATCCACAGGATGCAGTTTGAGAGATTTGTATCAACACCAGACTGGGAGGAGAGAAGTTCATATGTGCCGTTAGGCCTTTGGAAGAATGATGTTCAGAGCAGGTCAATCTGGAAGTTGTATAGGGAGCATGGGGCAACTCTGCAGACTGCTTCCTGCAGGACCTCCGGAATCCTTACTAGGCTAACAATGACTACACTGTCCCCTCTGCTCGCTGTGCCCTCAAATCCTCCTTCTCTGTTGAATCACTGCTACGGCCGAAAGCTCAGGGTCTTCAGATGCCAGAAAGAAAAGTGAGTTCAGGCAGACAATGAATGGTTCTTATGTTGGAAGAATAAATCCCCAGATTCCTGTTTTCACCAAGGTCTCCTGCTAAGCCCCTGAGTTGGTGAAATCGACCAGTTGTTTTGACCTAAAGACATCCATCTAACTGCTGGGAAGGGAATGAAACTAGAGAAACTGAAGGGGCTGGGGTTGCTGGGGGTGGTGGGGTGCGTGGGCAGCGGACAGATGGAGAGCTGAGTGGGATGGGCAGGGGAAAGTGGGGAAGATTCAAGGGTTTTTATAACCACAACCTGATTTTCTTTATCCTCTGTGCACACACACACACATACAGACCCTGCATGTGAGGTGGGGGCATCCATTTGTACAGTTATTGGGTCTCTATGACCAGGCCCGCCCAGCATATGGGTCACATGTGGGCCTAAGGTTCAGTAAATAAGTGTGAGCAGATGTTTCTGGGCACCTGGGCACCCTCTTGCAGGGCTCACCTCACAGGAATGGGGTCTCCAGCTCACCTTCCTTCAGGCCAGTGCATTATGTGTATGTGTGGCAAGTCATCTCACAGGGGGCATCTCTCTTAGTGAAATAAATAATGAAATCCTCTCTGGTTTCATCTGGAGGACAGACCCTGGCCTGGGTGGCCATTCTGGTTGTGCTGCCAAAATGAGTGAGTCTGCATAGTAATGATGACAGCTAACACTTTCTCTAGTACTGGCAGCAGGGGCCACCCAGAGCTGCTCCAGGCCACATTGCTTAGCAGTAACAGAGTGGGGATTTGAACCCGGGCCAGCGAGCCCTAGAGTCTGTGCTTTTGATTCTGTGTCACATCATGTCTCACAGGGCAACTCGGGTGTATTAGGGAGAGGTTTTAGCAGTCAGAGTAATGCCTCCTTTACAGAGCTCCCATAACAGTATTCCTGAATTGTGGCCTTTGCTTGAATATATCCAATGACAGGTGACTCATTACTTTACCAGGAGACCACACTCATCTTCCAACAGTTAGATTTTTGGCAAAGTCATTTGGATGTTGAGCCCCAAACTCAACTTCCTGAACCCTCCTGCCCTGAGAAGAAGTCCTTCCCTTCTGCCTGATACCCCTCAGATATTTGCAGGCCAGCCCCATACCCACACCTGCAGACTTAGATTGCACAAGTGTGGGGTTCCCTGGCCCCTCAGATCTTTGTCCTTTTTAGCCATCAACTTCTGTACATACCCCTCATCTGTCAGGCCTGGACCTGTTCTGCATGCTCTGGCTTGCCTGCTGTTCCCAGGTTTGGGGACACCCAGTGTGACCCTGCCAGTCCTGGTCCTTGGCTTCATCTGTAGGGTAAGGGGCTGGCCAGGTAGCTCTGACACTCTAGGTGGTGTCTGGAGTGCAGCCACCCCCCACCCTGTCCCATCCTCGGTCTTTCAAGCTCTACCCTGACCTCTGTGCTTCCCTGCAGGTGGGCCCAGGCCCAGCAGATGCATATGTCTGAGTGAACAGTGACAGTGACAGCAGATGATGCAGGGGCCAAGGCAAGGGGAGGCACAGGTGGGAGAGACAGACTGGGGCGTTGAGACGGAGTCAGGGAGTCACTGCAGGACAGGAGCTGCTGGTGATACTTGAGTGGGGTCATCTTTTCTCTGTCCCATCACCTGACGGTGGGGACACCTGCTCATATGGGGTTTTGTTGGATGTGTGGCCAATGGGTGTCCTTCAGGTGGGTGTTCTGCCCCCCATTACATCAGGGGCTCCTAAAGTCAAGCTTGAAACTTTGCCCTCAGACTGGGATCTCCCAGGACAGAGTGTTTGCCCAGGCTGGGACCACCCTGGGAGGAGGGGCTCATGTCAGAAAGATGCCTGGCTACACTGGAGGACCCTTGTGTAGTGCACTTAGAGGGTCTCCTGCATTCCCTCTCCTTGGCCCTGCTGCCTGCTCCCTGGGGTGTAGGTCATATTGTCATAAGGTCATAATACCTCCAAACTTCAGATTTGAAAAGGTCTGCAGAGGTCATCCCATTTATTATATACAGCTTCCGGATCCTCTGCAGAGATCATCCCACTATCCAAAGACCCAGAGAAGGGCTTAGTGGCTAAGGAGGGAGACAGCCCACTGCTAGCAGCCTGAAGTCTGCCTTGTCCTCTGGCTGCACAGTTTCTCTTTCTTTCCACCTTCTGAGTAAGACCTCTTGGTAGACCACAGAGCCTTAAGGGTGTTGCCCTTCACCACCTCCACTGCCCTGTTCTCCAGGTGTCCTTCCCCAGGCTCTTCGTCCCCAGGTTAAGGCCTCCTATTTCCTGTGGGCACCTTTCTGCAGGAGGCAAGGGGCAGGCTGGAGGTTGTGGCAGCCCCTCGCTGAGTGGCCACTCTGAGCCCATTGGTGCTCCACCTGCCCTCCCTCCTTTCTGTTCCATCCCATCCAGCCCTCTCTCCCTTTGTACCACGACTGAGCTTCCCCTCACCCCTGGTAACTCGGAGATATCCTTTGAGTTTCCAGATTTCAGTAAATTTGAGCATCTTGGGATCTTAGTTGCTGCAAAGTTCCTGAAGCTGTCAGGTACTAGATCTGGGTCAAAGCCTAGATAGGTCAGGAGAGCCCAGGACTTTTTGGTAAACATCTCTCTGGCCTATCCAACTAATTAATGTTTCATATTGGTTTCCTCCAGAAGCAAATCAAAGAAAGATTTGAGAGTAAGTAGTTTATTTAGGGGTGATCTCAGGAAGCACTGGTAGAGAAGTAGGGAAGTGAGAACAGGAAGGGCAGGGAGCAGATATGGGGCATGTCAATGAGCAAATTACCGAGTTGAACAACTAGGACTCAGTCCCACCAGGACCTCCAGGAGTCTGTGTTAGTTTCCTATTGCTGCTGTAACAAATGATCACAAACTTAGTGGCTTAAAGCAACAAATGTATTATCTTAACAGCTCTGCGGGTCAGAAGTCCGACATGGGTCTCACTGGGCTGAAATCACAGTATCGGTAGGGCTGGGTGCCTTTCTGGAGGCTCTAGGGCAGAATCCATGTCCTTTTCCTTTCCAGTCTCTAGAAGCTGCCCACAGTCATTGGCTTATGGCCCCATCCTTCAAAGCCAGCCCAGGAGGTCCAGTGCTTTTCACATCACATCACACTGACCTCCTCTTCTGCCTCCCCCTTCCACATCTCAGGACGCTTTTGATTGTATTGAACCCATTTGGATAAACTACGCTAATCTCTAGTATTTCTATTCTCTCAGGTCAGCTGATTAGCAACCCTAATTACATCTGCAGTCTGAGTTCTTCTTTGCCATGTAACCTAACATATTCGTATGGGAATAGATATGGATATCTTTGAGGGACCATTATTCTGCTTACCAAAGGAAATTATGTAGATCACGCCTCAGAGTTATCTCACCCAAAGGGTGAGAAAGCTGGGTTGTTGATCAAGTAGCTCCCATCCAAGATTGGTTTTAGGGCGGAGGTAATTTCTCAGCATTTCTGGCCTGCCCCACCCCTAGCCCAGGGAAATTCCTATAGCAAAAAAAGCCTTTTAGCAGAGTTGGGGTAGAAAGCCATTGTACGCATAGGAATGAATATGGGTGGC